TATAGTGATGCAAAAATATTAAGAATTACAGTTTACTACTTTTTGGTATTTCCAGATTTTATAGATTAAGAATGGCAAAGAGAATACAACCATCGTGGGCCCCACCTCAAAGAAAAAACGCTTCTGTTCTTAAATTATACAATAGTTTTACTAGAAATAAAGAAGTATTTGTCCCACAATTTGGAAATCGTATACTATGGTATAGTTGTGGACCTACTGTTTATGATGCTTCACATATGGGACATGCTAGGTAATCATAATGTTGTTCAAAAAATTATGCACATATTTTATTGAAATATTATAAGTATAATATTCATTTTAATGTACTTTCATATGATTTTTGTTATTATTTAGATCATATATCTCCTTTGATATATTAAGGCGTGTGTTGTCTGATTATTTTGGATATGATATTCTATATGTAATGAATATTACTGATATAGATGATAAAATTATAAAGAGAGCTAGACAAAACTATTTATATGAGAGATATATTGAAGAGAGTCATACCCTTGATGAAATTTTGGATGATGCAAAAAATGTTATGTGTACTTTTGAAGATATAGTAAAGACTACAAATGATGTAGATAAAAAAAATATGCTACTGAAAATGTTGTCCAATGTGGGAAAGGCAATTGAAAATCTTGAGAATGCTGTGAAACTTAAAGATGAGGACAAAATGAAAGAATTTCAAGAAGTATGTGTTTATATATAGTTTTCATGCTATTAGAGTATTAATAATAAGCATATAGCTAGTAATAATGTTATTATTTAATGTTAATAATATTGTTAGTAATTTTATTTAATAATTTATCTAAAAACACTGTGTTTGTAATTTCTATGGGTACAGTTGCTATTAAAAGAAACACGAGATCCATTGGCAGAATGGTTGGACAAGAGAAAGGGAGCTACAGTCATGGAACACTCAATTTTCACCAAATTGTCACAACATTGGGAAATGGAGTTTCTAAAAGACATGGATGCTTTAAATGTAAATTTAAATATAATCTTGAATTTAATTACATGTTTATTAATTACACAGAAAAACTTATAATGAAATGTTTTTTAGGTATTACAGCCAAATAGTTTGACAAGAGTTAGTGAATATATTCCAGAAATTATAGCATTTATTCAAAAAATTATAGAAAATGGACATGCATATGAAAGTAATGGTTCTGTATACTTTGATGTTACTAGCTTTGATAAACAAGATAAGCATTACTATGCTAAACTTGTGCCAGAAGCATATGGTGATACATCAAGTTTACAAGAAGGAGAAGGTAAAAATGAATTTTTTTTTAAATACTTGATTATATTTTGAACGAAAACTTTTTTTGATTAGGAGATTTGAGCACTTCAGAGTTATCCGAAAAAAAATCATCGGTAGATTTTGCACTTTGGAAATGTTCTAAAGAAGGAGAGCCATGGTGGGAAAGTCCTTGGGGTAAAGGACGTCCAGGTTGGCATATAGAGTGTTCAGTTATGGCATCTATGGTTTGTGGAGAAAATTTAGACATTCATACTGGAGGAGTAGATTTAAAATTTCCACATCATGATAATGAAATAGCACAAGCAGAAGCATATTTTAATAATTCTAATTGGGTTAGATATTTTCTTCATTCTGGTCATTTGACCATAGCAGGATGCAAGATGTCAAAATCTCTAAAAAATTTTATTACAATACAAGATGCATTAAAAAAACATTCAGCAAGACAGCTTAGACTTGCATTTCTTTTGCATTCATGGAAAGACACGTTAGATTATAGCGATAATACTATGAATATGGCTATTCAATATGAGAAGTTTTTAAATGTAAGTATAAACGTCGGTTAAATAATATTTTATACTCTGTTTAATACTCAACAATATAATATCTATAAAATTGATTTGTATCACAGGAATTTTTTTTAAATGTAAAATGTAAAATTAGATCTCTGGATTCAGAAACAAATATTAATACTTTTACTAAATGGACAAATTCTGAAGTGGAATTAAACCAGAACTTTTATAATACTAGAGATTCTGTGCATAATGCATTATGTGGTAAGTAAACATTTGTAAACAGAACACTGTCAGGTGCATATTTCATCTTCAGAAATTATTGTATATTTGTATTATAGATAATATTGATACAAGAAGTGCGCTGGATGCAATTAGAGATCTTGTGACACATTGCAATATTTATATGAAACAAGTTAAACAACCAAATACGTTATTACTTAGAGATGTTGCAGTTTATTGTACGAAAATGTTAAGTATATTTGGTGCAATATCATCTTCACACGATTGTATTGGTTTCCCAGTTGATGCTAATACTACAAATTTAAATGTATGTTACACATACTTTTACTTTTCCTTCATCTACATCGTGCATTTTTTTTATTATCGATTTCATTGAAGGTTGAAGAAATTGCCATGCCATATCTTGAAATTCTGGCAAGTTTCCGTGAAAAAGTGAGAAGTCATGCTAAAACGTTAAAAGCTAGTAGTATTCTCGAGGAATGTGATAAGTTACGTGACGATATTTTACCGGACGTCGGCGTGCGTTTGGAAGACAGTAATGAGGAATCATGTAAAGTTAAATTAGTGAATAAAGAAGAACTGCTAAGGGAAAAGGAATGCAAGAGGAAAATGGAATTAGAAAAAGCACTGGAGAAGGAAAAGAAGAAGGCGGATGCTGCTGCGGCAGCAGCAGCAAAAGAAGCGCAGAGAAAAATTCCACCTACTGAAATGTTTAAGTTAGAAAAGGATAAATATTCTCAATTTGATAATAATGTGAGTAAAATTGTTTGTTAGTTAATATATTTCTTTGTATACGGTATTTAAAAAATTGTTTTGTTTAGGGTATACCTACGCATGATATAGACGGTAAAGAAATCAGTAAAGGACAGATGAAAAAATTGCAAAAATTGCTGCAAGCGCAAGAAAAAAGATACAACGAATATCTTGCTTCTATTCAAAATGTTGCTTAATATTTTTAGCTGCATAGTATTAATTTTGTGTGGTGTAAGGAAATTGTTGGTTCCACGCGGCAAAAATATTTATTTTCATGTTACTTTCGTATCATTGCATTGTTCATTAATTTATTACTGGCTATGAACGTAACAAAGCTCATATAATACTTAGGTTAATGCTTACGTTTATATGGTACTTAATTAAAAAGATTAATTCTATTTCTGCTTAACGTTTTCTCAATGTGTTGCAGATAACTTAGTTATCACTAAATGCACATATACAATATTAATGTCACTATTGTATCAAATTGCAATAGAAATTTAATAAATTGTACTTCAATAAAAAACAGTGTGTATATAAATTCATAGAAATATAGGCCTTATATGAATTAATCATGTCATTCATCCATTAAGGTTATGCTGTTAACATGCATTTAAATGCAGACAAGGACAAGATGATAAACATTATTTATTTTTCACGCAAATATCTTTAGATAAGTGTATAAAATGATTTATTCGAACAATATTCCGATTAAAACTATATATCATTCTTTTGTTTTTCCTTGCAGAAAATTACTTTTTTGTTACAAGATAAACACTGCCAAAATATGATAAGACTTAAACGTCTGGAAACGATTTCCTTTTTTATAGACAATTAATACGGAGTAAACGTAAATGATGAAGAGAAAAAAACATCGATAGATATTACAGTTTTTTCCACCAAGAGTAAATAATAGACAGTACATTTATCTAACTTAGATATATGTGAACATTAAACTTCCAATCTAAACAAAAATCTTCACATTCTAAATTATCAATGAAAAGATATTTTTAAACAATAAGTTAACATCCTTTCCTCACTTAACTAAAGGTAGAATAAGCGGATAGATATTGCCATATCGACAATTGAGTACAAACAGAGAACATTGTTACTGTGTCGATAAAATTATGATTCTCAACCATGCAAAACTCGAGTGTAACAATATTTCGTTGCGCGTCGCCATTGGATTCGATCGTCCTGAAACAAAATAAACTTCGCACCGTTTCCATCCTACCGGATGAATCTGACACGTGATGCTGTCCATTATTAAAGCATAATACCCCTTTCACAATGACGTGCGAGTCGGCGTGTGACAGCTTTATAAATGTAAAAGCGATATAATGCCTGACTTGCGGCGAAGCAGACCGATATTCATCCTGCATTCAGGAACTGTGGAAACGCGTGGCGAGCAGGTCGTGTATCACGCGCTTTTCCAACTCGTGAAAATGCATCGTATGATAATGTCTCGTACTAAAATCGTGACGAAATAATTAGAAAACTTTTATCGATTTTCTCGTCCCTGTATTTTTTCTTCGAATTGGAAATATTATTACAAATTATATTTTCATGAAAATTACATATTGAAATTTGTTATAAAACAATTGAAAATTCATTTTTCAATATTTATTACATTTAAGTTCGTCTTTGTAAATAAATATAATATCGTTACTGGTTCAGGAATTTCTTTCAAATATACGAATACACGTGACGCAGATAGACTTTTCTAAATGTTTTTGTACAATTTTTTCCTTCACTGTGTAAAAATGGACAATATAATGTAGAAAATAATTAGTTAAAACAAAAAAGAAATATAAACTTAATCGCCTTAATAATAATTGAAATAATGTTTTTTAAATCACCAGTTCAAATTTATTGAACGGAGACGTGATCTAGGAAATCACGAAAATTCCCGATACCGTGCATTGGATTTTGTCAGACGGTTTTCCTTTCATCGCGGTACGCGTAGCGACGCATGGCACAAAAAAAGCGAACGAAAGAATAAAAAAAAATAAACGAGTAAGTTGACGTTAACAATGCGTGACGGTTGACGCAAAAAATATGCTCTCAAATATGAAGTCAAGAGTGGTAAAAAAGCAAACAGACTTTTCGCTCGAATTCTCTCTTTTTCCTCCACCCTCTCTCTCCGCTCTCTTCCCTCTCTGTTTCTCTCTCTCTCTTTCGCCCTTTCATCCCGTTTTTCTCCACTCCACTTCGCGGTGCGAATGAATACGTAAATTTTTTCGGAAAAAGTCCGATTTCCGCACCCCAAATTCGAAAGGTCTCGATTCTTGATTGACATCTGAATGTTCTCGTATGCATATATAAAGCCACCCTCTTTCTCCATGTCTCTCCCTCTTCGTCACACTCTCGAGCTACGATTTCGTTTCGTTCACCGGATTCTCTTTATCCAAAATCAAAGTTCTGTAACTGTTGTAATTTAACGAGCACCGCTTTTTACTCGTATTACCATCCTGTGTATGTGCGTGTGTGTGTTTTTTTTAGTTCTCTTCTCTTTTACACTGTCACTTTTTTTTTTGCTGTTTCCGCGGTGACGCTGATCAGAACGCTTCAGAGTAACCGAACTGCGATAAAAAGAGCTCGGAAAAAAAAAGATATATATATATAGAATAGGTTGGAAAGGTGAAACACCAGTGTATCAAGAGGTCGACTTCGTTCGGTGAACAACGAAAGGTGTATGTACACGTGGTGGCAAATTAGAATAGCACCCTGGATTCTGTAATTCGAACGTCTCTAGTACGGTACATATATACTACGTCAATTGGTTGCAACGGTTTTTTTTGTAGACTTCCTGCAAGAAAAAAAAACCTCGTAAGGTTGATTGAACAAGTAACGGTGTAAAATGAAAGTGTAAGCAAAAGAGAAAGAGATTTTCCCGAGGGAAAATTGAACGTGTGAAAATGTAACGATTTACCAGGATGTTCGTAAGGTTTTGAAAGGAAGGTTTATTCTTGTGATCAGCGTAAAATCGTTCTGGTGATTTTTGAAAGAATATAACTCTACTGGAATTCGTTGATTCTGAAAAGTAAACACTATTAGTTTTAATGCACTTCACTTGGAAATAGGAGCACGTTCTTAAAATGTCTGTTATCGGAATGGATAGTAGAGACTCGATGTACTCGAAAAGGCTTCGTCAACTTTCCACACTTTTGCAATGTAATCACCGCAGATAGAGTGGAAACGTCGACACTTTCGTATCACAAAGGAATTTCGATGCTGGAAGGATAGCTATAGGAGACAGACATAAATAATGTATTGTTCACAATTTGAGGGCAGACATCCCAATGTGTCTGCTTGTGCATCATCGGGGTGCGCGGTTCGAAGGGGTGACAGGAGGCCACGGAGCCCACTTTTATAACTCCATCGACGATTTTCAGCTACCCTCTCGTCGGTTTTCGATTTATACCACAGACTCCATCGCGCTCTTATCCTTTTGTTTGATTTATTCCTTTTTTCCCGCGAGGAGGAGTGATTTTCGGAACTTTTTCTCGCCAGTCCGACCGATTATCGCTATTGTTGCGACCTTTCGGATGGTTGGCCGTGGTGAAGCGTTCGAAAAGTCGATGACAAATTGCCGATAGTCTCTTCATCTCACACCGGATTTGATTGTATCGAGCGTAATGAAAGTTTTTGCTGCAGTTTGTTGTGAAAATTGTAGTAGGTAAGGGAAATTGTCACAGCTTTGGAAAATTTATGGAAAATGTTCATTTATTTATTTTGCTTTTTTTCATCGATTCTTTGAATTATTATTATATTTAGCTTTAGGAATGAGTGTTATTAGATATCATTTTCATAAGCAAATACCTAACCTAACCTAACCAATAATATCGGTCACTTTACACATTTCCATTTTACAAACTGCACAACTGATCAATTATTTACTGTGAAGAAACGTCAAGATTCATCGATACCGAAGAAATGTAATTTCAATATTTAACGTGTCAACAATACTACTCATCGTACCTTGTGAAACACGTCTCAAATCAAATACATTCGTTCCTGTCCATGATTCGCAATTTTTTAGTGGATAACAGGTGTATTTCATCCAACTCACCACGTACAAGCATTGGAAATTTCGAATAAATTTCATACAATTTCATATTCATACAATCTTTCAAATGTAATTAAACTTCTAACCTCTCAAGAAAAAGAAGGAAAGATAAAATTAAACAATTGTACGAGCAAGCATAATAAACTACACGGTACCTTTCTATTGTTTAACTGATCTCCACACAATGAAAGATCACCGGAAACACCATTTGCAAACAATTCAGGTGGCCGGGTCCCGTTAATCGCGAGGATCGGCTGACTAGCGAAATCCAACACCTAAGTATCTGCGATAATTAGATACCCTTTCAAGTCGTTTCTTCTATATAGAAGCTGTAAACTTACAGTCTGCTCAATCTTTAGTATTGCCATCTTACGGGCTAAAGCCACACCCGTAACTGTGTGTATGTGTATGTTTTTTCAACGCAAAAACATCGTATAAATAAGGCTTGTTAGAGGACGCGTGTGCTCGCTACGAGTCGAATTGCGCCTCGCGCCGTGTAATGGTACCCTTTTATGTTAATCGGCTAACCCTTCCGCGTTTAACCAGCTGCGCTCGCGCATTGTCCCAGCCAGTTTTTCACGTGCTTTTTTCTGCTGCGTGCTTCTAACGAAACAAAACGCACGCGTCTCTGCCCACGTGTCGATTCGCAGTTAGACTGTTTTCGGTGGGTTGGGGGGTCAGTTTTTGCCATATAGCAGACCGCGATATCGAGGAGTAAAGGGGAGAAAAAAAAGGAGGTTACCGTATGAGGAGGAGAGGGAAAAGGTGACGGAGGGTAAAGATTGGCTCGAACCGAACGGAGAGAAAAAAAAAAGAGAAAAAAGAGGAGGAAAATATATACAAGGGCTCGGTGAAAAGTGTGTGAGAGTGAGAGTGAGATAGATAGATAGAGAAAAGCGCGGTTGCAAATCGGCGTAACGCGCTTTCTCGATCGGCCAATCCGTGTTCACCCTTCGAGGTGTATTTATACTCGGACTCGACCGAGGCGTTCCTGCGAATCGCGTTATCCGATTAATCGTAAAGGGATTGCGTGAGCGCCTCTTAATATATATACATATACAGGGTGAGACACGTAAAACGGACCACCTAATTATATCATTCAACTGTGGTGGTAGATGAAAATATTTATACGTAATTTAAATGGTTTCAAAGGGTGAATAAGATGGAAGAAAAGTTTTTTCAA